CTGGGAGGAGCCTTGGGGTGCCCAGGGGTGCTGGGAGGAGCCTTGGGGTGCCCAGGGGTGCCTGGGAGCACCACGTGGTGCCCGGGGGTGCCACGGTGTCCGGGAATCCTGTGAGGTCAGGGGGTGCCTCAGGGCGCCCGGGGGTGCCCCGGGGGTGCCCGGGGGTGACGCGGTGCCGGTGCCATCCGCAGGCTGGTGCGTGAGGTGACGGGGGTGAACGTGAACATGCGCGTGGGCATCCACAGCGGGCGGGTGCACTGCGGGGTCCTGGGGCTGCGCAAGTGGCAGTTCGACGTCTGGTCCAACGACGTCACCCTCGCCAACCACATGGAAGCAGGAGGCAAAGCCGGGTGAGCCGGGCTGGGGAGGGGCTGGGCTGGGGGGGGGACGGGGCAGGGGGTGTGGAGCGGGATAAGGGCTCACGTCCTTGCCCCCAACCCCGTCCCCAGGCGCATCCACATCACCTGGGCGACGCTGCAGTACCTGAACGGCGACTACGAGGTGGAGCCGGGGCACGGGGGCGAGCGCAACGCCTACCTCAAGGAGCACAACATCGAGACCTTCCTCATCGTGGGCTGCAGCCAGAAGCGCGTGAGTCGGGGGAGGACACACTCGGGGGGAGGGTCCCAGGAGGGCGGGAGAGCCGGGGTGTCCCCCCCTGCTCCTCACGGCCGTGCGTCCCCCCTGCAGAAGGAGGAGAAGGCCATCCTGGCCAAGCTGCAGCGCGCTCGTGCCAACTCCACCGAGGGGCTGGTGCCACGCTGGGTGCCCGAGCGCTCCTTCTCCCGCACCAAGGACTCCAAGGCCTTCCGGCAGATGGTGAGTGGCCTCGGGGAGGGGGGTATTGGGCATGGGGGGGCCCCACCACGGCGGTATCGGCTGCTTGCTGCCCTTCCGGGGCTGCCTGTGGCTTCCCCAGCCCTGCCCGAGGATCTTGTGGCTTCCTCCTGCTGCCTGCAGGCCTCAGGGGAGCCTGGGGTGACCCCCCCATCCTCATCAGCCCATGGGAACCCCCCCAGTGTCTCCCCCATCCTCAACAGACCTCAGGGATCCCCCTGTCCTCACCAGCCGTCCTCACTGGTGTCAGACATCCCCCCCCAGACCCTCTCTCCTCCCTCTGCAGACCCTTGGGGACACCCCCACCATCCTGGTGACCCCTGGGACTCTGTCCCCCATCCTGGGTGACCCTGGGGGATGCCCCATGTCCCTGTCATCCCTGGAGGGCCCCCCAATCCGTGACAGTGTCCCTGACACCCCCATCTCCTTGTGTCTCCCAGGGCATCGATGACTCCAGCAAGGACAAGTGAGTGTCCCCATGCCGGGGCGCTGGGGGGTCACAGCTGGGCCCTTCCCTGGGGCAGAGACAGGGGGCTTGGGGGACCCTGACCCCCCCGTGTCCCCAGCCGAGGTGCCCAGGAGGCCCTGAACCCCGAGGACGAGGTGGACGAGTTCCTGAGCCGGGCCATCGACGCCCGGAGCATCGACCAGCTCCGCAAGGACCACGTCAAGAAGTTCCTGCTCACCTTCCAGACACCTGAGCTGGAGAAGAAGGTGGGAGGCCCTCTGGCCCCTCTGCCCCAGCCCTGAGGGCCCCTCTGTCCCCTGAAGTCCCCTCAGTTCTGGCCCCATCAGCACCTTTGTCCTTCTCATCTCACCTTAATTTCCTGGGATCCTCTGTGTGCTGGTCCATGGACCCTCCACCTTCTCAATCTCATCCCATCCCATCCCCTGAATCCCTCAGGTATCCCCAATCCTCCTCCATCCCATTCCCCCAGGGTCCCCCCTGTCCCACTCCATCCCATCCCATGGGATCTCCCCGTCCCACCCCCCCCTCTCCCCTCAGTACTCCAAGAAGATTGACGACCGTTTCGGTGGCTACGTGGCCTGTACCCTCCTGGTCTTCTGCTTCATCTGCTGCCTCCAGATCCTGGTGTTCCCCCAGTGAGTTCTGCAGCCCCCCCAAAACCCCGGCCCTGGCCCCCCGAGCCCGTCACTCACCCCCCACCTCTCCCCAGCTCCCCGCTGATGCTCGGTGTCTACGTCAGCATCTTCATCGTGCTCGCCGTCATCCTCTTCGTCTGCGCCGTCTACTCCTGCGTCACCGTGAGTGCCGGGCCGAGGGCTGGGGGGGGGCTTTGGGGGGCTCAGCTGGGAGTGACGGGGTCTTTCCTGTGTGTGTGTCCCCCCCCAGCTCTTCCCCACCGCCCTGCAGAGGCTCTCCCGGAGCATTGTCCAGTCCCGCGCCCGCAGCACCGGCATCGCCGTCTTCACCATCCTCCTCGTCTTCATCGCTGCCTTCGTCAACATGGTGGGGACATGGGGGGCCCTGGGGGCCTGTGGGAGGCTGTAGGGGGCTGTGAGGGGCTGTGCGGGGCTGTGAGGGGCTGTGAGGGGCTGTGGGGCACCATCTCACCCCTCTGCCCCCCCCCCAGTTCTCCTGCAGCCGCGTGGCCCTGCGGGAATGTGCCGCCCGGGAGCTCAACGTGACCCCCGAGGCTGTGGGGCCCTGCCAGCTCCGGGCCCTCAACTTCTCCCTGGGGACCCCCCCTGGCTCCTGCCACGGTGACGGGCTGGCCTGTGACTTCCCCGAGGTGAGGGGCTGCGGGCACCCCCGGGCACAGGGGTCCCTGGGGGTGCACGGCCCTCTCTGGGTGCTGGCACAGGGTCCCTGGGGGTTCTGGGTGCTGGCAGAGGGTCTCTGCAGTCCCTGGGGCCCCAGGAATGCTGGCAGGGGTCCCTGAGGGTGCTGGGTGCCAGCACAGGGTCCCTGCAGACACAGGGTGCTGGCACAGGTCCCTCGGGTCCAAGGTCCTCTGCGGGTGCTGGCACTGAGCCCTCGAGGGTGTCCCCAAGGGTGCAAGGTCCCCATGGGCGTGGGGTGCCATCTGGGGTTCCTGGGGTGCCATCCAGCATTCCCAGGGTGCTGCAGGGGTTCCTGGGGTGCTGGCTGGAGTTCCTGGGGTACTGACTGGGGTTTCCAGTCAGGGTTCCTGGAGTGCTGCAGGGGTCCCAGAGGTGCCATCCACTGTTCCCGGTGTGCCCTTGGGGTGCCCGGGGCGCTGCAGAGGTTCCCAGGAGTGCTGCAGGGATTCCTGGGCTGCCATCAGGGGTTCCTGGGGCGGGTTGCGGGGGTTCTGGGGGTACCATCCGGCGTTCCCGGGGTCCCAGTGCATCCCCCCCGTGTCCCCCCCCCAGTACTTCAGCTACAGCGTGGTGCTGAGCCTGCTCGCCTGCTCCGTCTTCCTGCACATCAGCAGCATCGGGAAGCTGCTGCTCATGGTGGCCATCGAGGCCACCTTCCTGCTGCTGGTGGAGGGGCCTCACGCTGCCCTCTTCGACAACGCCGACCTGCTGGTCGTGGCCAACGCCCTGTGAGTGCCCATGTGCCCCCCCCGGGGTCCCCAAGCTCCGAGATGTGTCCCCACCCCGCTCACCCCCGGCTCCTCTCCCCCACAGGCCCTCCTTCAACGTGACCCAGGGCGAGTGGTGAGCGGGGAACTGGGACCAGTGGGGAACTGGGGGCAGGGGGGTGAGGGTGGGCAGCAGCAGGAGGGTGCCTTGGGGGGGGTCTGTGCTGCGAGGGTGGGTGCGGCTTTGGGGTCTCTGGCGTGGGTGCAGCTTTGGGGTTGAGTGTGTTTTAGGGGTCCCTGGGTGGGTGCAGCAGTGGGGCTCCTGGGTTGGGTGCATCCTTGGGGTTGGATGAATCTTTGGGGCTCCCTTGGGTGAGTGGGTGGGCCTTTGGGGTCTGGGTGGATCTCTGGGGTCCCTGGAGTGGGAGGGTGAATTGTAGGGGTTGGGT